TGTTAAAATCAAGCAATAACCAGCCAATGTGTAGGATACAAATTTTAATAGAGAAAACATGTTTGTTGACGTCAAGTAATCCCCCCCCCCCTCCCCCCCTTGTCAACAATTGTCAAACATTTCCACCCCCCCCCCATATTTTGTTGACATAATTAATGGACGGCCCCTTAATTTTTTTTTATAATAAAAAAATGCCATACAGTTTTAAATTGGTTAGTTAAATATTAACGATTAAATTTGTAAAAAAAAAATTGGTGGTGTGCAATTTTGTTTAAAAATAAATGTTTCAATGTTCAAAAACTGTTCATCCCCCATCTGTAATATCGCTGTATTAATTTTACGTCATTATTGGTGCAAACTTTTCGTGTGAATAAGTTTGGGGGCAATAAATAGTTCGATGAATTTTTGCAATTAAGACTTTTTAAATAAACTTCAAAATTAGTTCCGTTGTGCCCCCCTCCCCCCCCCCCCCCCCCCCCAAAAAAAAATAATTCACCAGAATGCTCGATCCGTTATGTCATCCTAATCTCATCAATGGTTTGCACGGTCTGTGATTACAACAAGACTTCAAACAGAATGCGTGATTTCATTTAATAATTTGAACCGTGAAAAGAAACGGGCATTAACCTCTAGCCGCGTCCCGTGGGTTGTCCTCCCATTTCTTTTAAAATGTAAAGAAACAAATTGAATCTACAATTAAATCTTGCTACAACGTGAGAATGAGGATCCATAGATTCAGATCGTCTTAAAAGTCCATGTTTTTATATATACATTCAAACTTGCTGTGACTACCCAAACACGTTGAGCGTGTAAAATACGAGATAAGGCGCATAACTATATTGCAAGGGAACTCCGTTTATCCACAACGATCGCTCACTGTACATTAGAAAAAGTATAAATTGCGTAAAAAAATTGAAATAATAATGTCATTTTTACTGCTAAACGCTTCAGTTGAGGGAGTTAAGCCGTAAAATCGTTTTAAAAGAGGGTTAAACTTGTATTACCTTTCTTGGTGCAGAAAAAAAAGGGGGGGGGGGGGGGCATGGCCCTCTAGGACTCTGAGTGAATTATTTTTATAGAAAGAGTTGGAATTTTTTTTTTTTTTTTTTTTTTTTTTTTGCTTAAGGGGTGTCCGTTAACTACGTAAATAATTTTAAAGCAAATTTTGACCCCCCCCCCCTTTTCCCCCCTTGTCAACAACTGTCAAACTTTCAATGACGAACCCCTAAGTAATAATGTCAACATTTCTATACCCCCCCCCCCAACCCTTCTTTTTTATTAAAATGAATTATAATATAAATCAATATATAATAATATTTTACTGTGTACCGATCTATTTTAATAACACAAAATTGTAGGAAAAAAAACAATTTATAGCATCTTAAGCGTGTTAATCAACAAGTTAAAAATTGTATTCAACTAAAGATTATAGAACTAGTTTATTTTACAGTCATTGCACTTGTTAAAATCAAGCAATAACCAGCCAATGTTTAGGATACAAATTTTAATAGAGAAAACATGATTGTTGACGTCAAGTAATCTCCCCCCCCCTCCCCCCCTTGTCAACAATTGTCAAACATTTCCACCCCCCCCCCATATTTTGTTGACATAATTAATGGACGGCCCCTTAATTTTTTTTTATAATAAAAAAATGCCATACAGTTTTAAATTGGTTAGTTAAATATTAACGATTAAATTTGTAAAAAAAAAATTGGTGGTGTGCAATTTTGTTTAAAAATAAATGTTTCAATGTTCAAAAACTGTTCATCCCCCATCTGTAATATCGCTGTATTAATTTTACGTCATTATTGGTGCAAACTTTTCGTGTGAATAAGTTTGGGGGCAATAAATAGTTCGATGAATTTTTGCAATGAGGACTTTTTAAATAAATTTCATAATTAGTTCCGTTGTGCCCGCCTCCCCCCCCCCCCCCCCCCCCAAAAAAAAATAATTCACCAGAATGCTCGATCCGTTATGTCATCCTAATCTCATCAATGGTTTGCACGGTCTGTGATTACAACAAGACTTCAAACAGAATGCGTGATTTCATTTAATAATTTGAACCGTGAAAAGAAACGGGCATTAACCTCTAGCCGCGTCCCGTGGGTTGTCCTCCCATTTCTTTTAAAATGTAAAGAAACAAATTGAATCTACAATTAAATCTTGCTACAACGTGAGAATGAGGATCCATAGATTCAGATCGTCTTAAAAGTCCATGTTTTTATATATACATTCAAACTTGCTGTGACTACCCAAACACGTTGAGCGTGTAAAATACGAGATAAGGCGCATAACTATATTGCAAGGGAACTCCGTTTATCCACAACGATCGCTCACTGTACATTAGAAAAAGTATAAATTGCGTAAAAAAATTGAAATAATAATGTCATTTTTACTGCTAAACGCTTCAGTTGAGGGAGTTAAGCCGTAAAATCGTTTTAAAAGAGGGTTAAACTTGTATTACCTTTCTTGGTGCAGAAAAAAAAGGGGGGGGGGGTGGGCATGGTCCTCTAGGACTCTTAGTGAATTATTTTTATAGACAGAGTTGGAATTTTTTTTTTTTTTTTTTTTTTTTTTTTGAAGTAGGTGTATTTTTTTTTTTTTTTTTTTTTTTTTTTTGAAGTAGGAGGATATGACATGATATGTCGTTCGGCGTAGTCTTTCTTTGGCTGCATAGATCGCTCATCTACACTTTTGTACAGAATTTCTTTGAGCAATGCATTTTTAGACATTTTAAATAATTTCTTCTCTTTATTGCCTTTAAACTCTTCTCTGATAGAAAGTAGTTTTTGTAAAGTTTTTAAGATATATATTTTTAAAAATTTCTTTTCCTTCATTGAGTTAATGGAAGTAAAAAAAAAATATATCTATAAGATAACGAATTATTATTTTCCCATCTCATTATGTCAGTGGTTAAACTGACACCTTGTTTCATGGGGCGTGGGACTAACTCCGTTGCGGGGGGNAGAGTGTATGACACACTGTTTACTGTGCATTATCCCCCCCCCCCTTTTTTTTTCCCGTGTGCGCCGCCTGTAGATTTATTCTCTACTCCAGCTTTCTGACCACCTCCATGTCTCATCCCCTTAGGTCACTCTCGCCGTCTGCGTGACCCTGATCACGTGTGGCGCTGTGTACGTGGGCTACACTCAGTACAGTCGAGCTGATGACCTCACTGCTAGAGAGGCTCGCACCACCACTCCCAGCCACCCAAGACCAAAGCCAAGCCGCAGCAGTCATCCCGACACCATGGTCGAGGATCAAACCAACGACATTCCAAACGCTAGACCGAATTCCTCTGATTCCAGCCCGTTGTCCTTGGGTGGGGACTTGGGCGTCGAATCGCTCGGGAGAAAACATGGTCCGGCAAAAGAAAAGGACACCAAATCTGCTGGTCGCTATTTCGACTGGACGCCAGGAGGTCACGAGACAAAAGACAAGTACACGCCGGCAGGTGATGCGCAGATGAGCTCCTCGTCACCCAGCGATGGCGCGCCGGGCCCAGGTCCGTACACGTACGGAGTCAACTTTGTTGGCAGGAACGTCACCGAACCGGGGTCACGTGGCGGGCACAGGCTTAAGCGAGCAACAGGGTGAGTGTTACCCGGGCTTAAGACAACAACAGGGTAAGTGTTTACACGGGCTTAAGACAGCAACAGGGTGAGTGTTACACAGGATTAAGACAGCAACAGTGTGAGTGTTACACAGGATTAAGACAGAAACAGGGTGAGTGTTACATGGGATTAAGACAGCAACAGGGTGAGTGTTACACGGGTTTAAGATAGCAACAGGGTGAGTGTTACACGGGCTTAAGACAGCAACAGGGTGAATGTTAAAGCAGTTTTTAAAATGTGTTCGATCCTCGGGAGTGACGGGAGGGAATAAAGGGGATGGGGTGGATGGGTGAGAAGGTATGGCGTTCCTTCCCCTGCGTTTATTTTTATTTATTTAGAGATCATTTTGGCCAACTACGAAGTTTCTTTTGGTGCGAGGGAAATAGCAAAAAGTTTTGTCCACACCGGGAGCAACCAACTCTATAGATTGACCACTGCCTCGGCACTTCTGCTGCATCCAGGTTTTCCCAGGGCACCTTTATTAAAATTCGAACAAGCACACAGAAAAATTATAGGGATTGTAATATATGTATATATTAAAAGGCTGACAATTTTTTTTTCCAAACCTCGTGCCACCCCCCCCCCCCAAACAAGGAAGCCTCGGCTTCCCAGGGCGCATAATTTTAAAAATTATAGGGATTGTAATATATGTATATATTAAAAGGCTGACAATTTTTTTTTCCCAACCCCGTGCCACCCCCCCCCCCCAAACAAGGAAGCCTCGGCTTCCCAGGGCGCATAATTTGGTAATTTGCTCCAGTTTGAATGGATTGCTCCAGTTTGAATGGATTGCTCCAGTTTGAATGGATTGCTCCAGTTTGAATGGATTGCTCCAGTTTGAATGGATTGCTCCAGTTTGGATTGCTCCAGTTTGAATGGATTGCTCCAGTTTGAATGGATTGCTCCAGTTTGAATGGATTGCTCCAGTTTGAATGGATTGCTCTAGTCTTAATGTACTGCTCAAGTTTTGAATGGTAGATATCTTCTATTTTTCCCCCTTAGAGTCCAGTAACAATTTAAATATCAGGTTGTTGTCGTCGAAAGACGATCGAAAATGTATTTCTTCATGACGTTGATTCTTTTCATGCTGACATCAAACACGCCGTATTAAACAATAGATTTATTTTTTGGGGTTGAAACCACAGCCCAAGACAATGCACCGCCGATGTCCAGTGTGCTCCCACGGAGTGTTGCCTGGAGGATCAACTTGGCGCCAATCCCCTGGCACTGGTCTGTGTGCCAAGGCAAAATAACGGTAAGGTCAATGTCACGGGTATATATATATATATATATATATATATATAGACTTGGGACGATTTGAAGGTCATGGGCATACTCACTTGGACTGTCTGAAGGTCATGGGAATACAGACTTGGACTGCTTGAATGTTGAAAGCTCCTACCTTCGTCACATTTCTAAATACACGTTTTCACATTGAACATAGCTCAAACCAAGCCCTGCAGCAGTGTGTGCCGCCACCAGTGTCAGACGCCACCAGTGTGAGCCGCCACCACACTGTGTGCCGCTGCTGCAGTGTGCCGCGTCCGTTAGGCCATTCAAAGTGGTCCCAAAATGAACACACAGAAATACATCTGTTCAGAGATCATCTTTAAAAAAAAATCTAAATTACGAAAGAAAAATTATCTAGGCAGAAATCAAAAGTGCTATTTAAATTTAAAGAGATTTTAAATTTTAGCTGTTTACATAATGCTGTACTTTGACTAGCGTTAGTCAATGTTGTACTTTGAATAGCACTACTGTCAATGCTGTTTTGCTGTACTTTGACTTGCACTACTGTCAATGCTGTATTTTAAATAGCACTACAGTCAATGCTGCATTGTACTTTGACTAGCACTACAGTCAATGCTGTTTTGCTGTACTTTGCACTACTGTCAATGCTGCACTTTGACTAGCACGACTGTCAATGCTGTACTTTGACTAGCACTACAGTCAATGCTGCATTGTACTTTAAATTAGAGACCGACCGAATTTCGGCCTTGGCTTCAGTTTCGGCGCCGAAAGTGGCCATTTTATCACTTTCGGCCAAGTTTCGGTTTCGGCCGAAACTGAAAAGTTGACTTTCGGTTTAATTTCGGTTTCGGCCGAAAGAGAAAAGTTAACTTTCGGTTTTTCTTCGGTTTCAGCCGAAATTGACTTAGACTTTCGGCCATCGGCCGAAAGTGACTCAGGTTTTCGGTCATTTAATATTCAGCGAAAATGATATTTAACAACAAACTAAACGACATTTAAGAACGAATTAAGAGATCTTTGAAACAAACTAAACGATATTTAACAACAAACTTAGCGATCTTTAAGAACAATCTAAGCAATCTTTAATAACAAACTAAACGATCTTAAAGAACAAACTAAACGATTTTTATGACCGAACTAAATGATCTTTAAGAACAAAACAAATGATCTTTAATAGTAAACTAAATTATTTATAAGAATAAACCAAGCGATCTTTAGCAGAAAACTAAATGTTCTTTAGGAACAAACTAAAAGATCTTTGAGAATAAACTAATCAATCTTAAGGAACAAAATCAATTATCTTTAAGTTTAAGAACAAACTAAGCGATCTTTATGAAAAAACTAAGCGATCTTTAACAACAAACTAAGCGATCTTTATGAACAAACTAAACGATATTTAAGAACAAATAATGCGATCTATTAACAAAAACTGGATGATCTTTAACAACAAACTAAGTGATCTTTAAGAACAAACTAAACGATCTTTAACAACAAATTAAGCGATCTTTAAGATTAAACTAAGCGATATTTTAGAACAATCTAACGATCTTTAAGAACAAACTCACCGATCTTTAAGAACAAACTAACCGATCAATAACAACCAACTAAACGATCTTTAAAAACAAATTAAGCAATCCTTAACAACAACAATTTTTAGAGACCCGGTTTAAAAAAATAATATTTTGCATTAATTCCCCCCCCCCCCCTCCAAATTTTTCCCAAATTTTTTCCTACCATACTAATTTTAAAAAGTTGTAAAGCAATTTAAAATACTTTTATATTAAAATGGTAAAATCCAAAGTATTCATTAGATCAAAGGTCTCAAACTCAAATCATCGAGGGGGGGTGTGGGGGGCGCAGGAGGTAGTGCCTGAATGAGAGTGGGCCGCAATCAAGTAATCCACAAAAAAAGCGATTACAACTGTTAAAATCTGCTCAACCTTTATAAATAACAACGAAATCATTAAGGGTTCTCAAAAACTAGGATTCACTTTAATCCACCTACTCACTGTTGCATACAAAAATACATAGCAACACTACCAAAAAAAAAAACAGAATTAGACTAGTCGGTGAGATTGGACTGAAACCGTCGCGGAAAGTAACGTTATAGATATGAGAATGGGGGAAACGGGCCGGCGCATTTACACTAAACTTTTCTGTCATGTAGTGGGCCGCAAAATATCGTCTTGCGGGTCACAAATGGCTCGCGGGCCGCGAGTTTGAGACCCTTCTATATCGATATGTAGGAAAAGAATCACGTGAAAAAAAAGTCACAGGAAATAAAGTCACAGGAAAAAAGTCACAGGAAATAAAGTCTCAGGAAATAAAGTCACAGGAAAAAAGTCACAGGAAAAAAGTCACTAAGTGTATGTCAAATAAATTCCTAAATGTCAGTGGTTATGAAATTATATTTGTAAGTCCATCAACATGTTTATTTAGTGGAAAACCAGTCAATAGAAAATAGCAGTCAAGCTTATCGTTAACTTATTGGGTCGTTGTTTTTTTTTTTAATTTTCGGATAGGTAGATGGATAGGATATATTGGATGGATGATGGATGGATGGATGATGGCTGATGGATGCGTGATGGATGGACGGCACATATATCCATCATTATCCAGAATCAAATACTAGGGGATTATGAACTTTTTATAACATTCCGTTTGGGGCCGGGGGGCCCGGAATCGTTTGTTTTTTTTCTTCTATGAGCTTTATAAATAAAATTAACAACAAACACTCCTGCATAAATAGATGGATCTTGACCAAACTTAGTGACGGGATCAAATAGGGATCCTGCGGCAAACGGGATCCCATCGGAGAAAAGGATCCTTCCGGGAAGCGGGATCCTAGTGGGATCGGGATCCCATTTGGAAAAGGGTACAATTTGGAAAGTGGCACCCTACTTGGAAATGGGATCCCATTAGGATCTCAATTATTTCGGATCCCACAGGGTTGGGATCCTAATGACATCCTTTTTGAGAAAGTGATCCCAATCGGGATCAGGATCCAATTAGGGGTGGGATCCCTGGGTCGGAATCACAATGGGGTCAGGATACCCATGGGATTATTTGAGGGAAAGGGATCCCAATCAAAATTGGTATCTAAATGGGGTTAGGATCCTTGTGGGGTCGGGATCCCGATAAGATATGGGATCCCACAACTCTTGTCAGAATTTATTTATGATATCTGATGGCTGAATGTTTCTGTGACTTTTTTCCTGTGACTTTATTTCCTGTGAATTTTTTTCCTAGCAAAATTTGTGACTTTTTTCCAGTGACTTTTTTTCCGCTCACCTAATATTCACGATTATCTCATTTTTTTATAAAAAGAATGTAAATATTTATACTTTCCCACATCATTTTCGATGTATGCAGAATGTATGCGGGAACGAATTTCAAAATATCTTAATATTTCATTTTCGGCTTCGGCCGAAATTCATTTTTAAATTTCGTCTTTTTTTCGGTTTTGGCCGAAAGTCATTTTAAACTTTCGGCCTATTTTCGGCTTCGGCCGAAATCAGAAAATCACTTTCGGTCAGTCTCTACTTTAAATAGCACTTCAGTCAATGCTGCATTGCTTTACTTTGACTAGCACGACTGTCAATGCTGTTCTTTGACTAGCACGACTGTCAATGCTGCTCTTTGACTAGCACGACTGTACTTAAGGTTAATACTGGTTTTACTTTAAAACAAAACACTGAAGTCATGAATTTTGTTTCTCACACGTCATCTTTCACTCCTGTCTACAGTTTGAACAAAAAATATTCTAGTTTAAACAGAGACTTAGTGCTTTTTTCATCTTCTCCGTGCTATTGTAGTTTCATGGTTTATGTGCAAGAACATCTTTCTTGACTCGACAACTCTACAGGTTACTGCGGCCGGCCCAAGGCGTGTCGCTACACACACAACTGCAAACCGCCGGCCGAGAGATGCGTCCTGACCAGGGTCATCTTTCATCCCAGGTACTGGGGTGTACCCATCGGGCACTGCGCTACACAGTAACGGACGTACAGACCATGCTGCCGAAAAATAATTTATTTTGCTTCCTGTTTAAAAAAAAAGAGGCTTTAACAGACATTAGATTAGGTGCATTTTCCTGCAAAGGACAATCTGTTGTTGGAAAATGTCAAATAAGTGAATTATTTATATCAATAATCAACACATAGACTGATGTCTGGTAAACCTCCTCAGTTACATAGAACGGAAATCATTAAAATTAAATCCTGACAAAAAATTACAAGTTGAGTTCCCATTTTTTGCTAATTTATTTATTGTAACATTCCACAGTGTAACATTCCATAGTGTAACATTTCATTGCGAAACATTCCATAGTGTAACATTCCACAGTGTAACATTCCATAGTGTTAACATATCACAAGAATATGACAACATAAAAAAAAACTCTGCACATGCCATTTTAAAGAAATAATTTGTGAACATGACTTCGTCAACAAATGTTTTTTCAAAAAAAAACTTATGTATCTCATTGTGCAACATTTTTTTCTTTGTTAAACCTCAAATTATACATTTATTTATTAACCAAGAAGGTCTTTTATTCAGACGATAATGGCAAAAAATGTATCTTAACAATCACAAACTGTCCTCAATATGGACAAGTGTAGTTCTATTAACTCTTTGCCTACTGAGATTTGGTCTGTGTCTTGACAGACGAAAATTCTGGCTCTTCAAACAATTGCAAAATGCAAACAATAAATTACATTCCAAACTCTGATCGCCGTGGTTGTGATGTCAACGGCTGCATGAATGAAGGCTGAAAGTAAAACTTATATCACAAGTAACATGACGTATTGTTTCAGTCATGGGAAGAGAATGGTCACAAAAATGTAATACTTCCCAACAGAATACTTGTATAGAGTAGATCACATTTATTTTCATGCATTCAATCACATTGTGGGGAAGGGAATCCACAAGCCAGATATCAGATCATTTTGAAGGCATCAAATATTTGATATCCACCACATAGTATGGTTCAAGTAATTTATCTTCACTGACATCTCCGGATTGCTCAAGTAATTTATCTTCGATGACATCTCCGGATTGTTCAAGTAATATATCTTCACCAACATGTCCGGCTGGTTCAAGTAATTAATCATCACTGATATCCTAGGATGGTAATTTTTTTCTTCAGTTCAGGTTTAGCAAACAAAGAGTCCCTCATAATCTGGTCTAGTTCATTCAATGCCAACTGTGCCTGGAGCTGAACTTTGACATCGGGGTCGTGGGTCAAGGACGTCTTCAGAGCCCTGTAGATCTCCAACAAAACATCACCGAGGGCCTGTGAATAAAATAATGAAATCGTTGCCATTAAAATTCATGGAAATGCCAGAGTGACATTTTTTAAAGTTCATACAGAATGTTTATTTTAAAAAAAGGGGGGGGTGGGGGTGAGCTCAATATGACTATTATAATAAAGTATTATGTTGATAGGAAAATGATACATGATCCTACGTCTGTTGCTCTCATACTAAGGCTTTGTCTGTGGCTCTCATACTAAGTGAGACTGACCAGCTCAGAGCACTATAGGTGAGACTGACCAGCTCAATGCACTATAACTGAGACCAACCAACTCAATGTACTCTAAGTGAGACTGACCAGCTCAATGCAGTGTAATTGAGACTGACCAGCTCAATGCACTGCAAGTGAGACTGACCAGCTCAATGCACTGCAAGTGAGACTGACCAGCTCAAATCAGTGTCAGTGAGACTGACCAGCTCAATGCACTGTAACTGTAAGTGAGACTGATCAGCTCAATGCACTGTAACTGTAAGTGAGACTGACCAGCTCAATGCACTGTAAGAGAGACTGACCAGCTTTATGTTTACAGTGTTGGAAAATGTTCCTTCCTTTGCTGTGACATAGATGGGAGGGGGGGGGGTGGGTTAGCCAACTGCAGTCTTTTCCACAGAAGTGGGTGGCAAAATACTAGCAACACCATTCTAATTTGTATGCTGATGCCTCACGGATTTCATACACTTAATAAATAGTGGCCCGTTAACCCAGTTTGTAGCTAACTGCCAATTTCTCTTCATCAAAATACAAGCTAGTTGCCACTGGAGCTCCATTTTTTTCTTTATGTTTACAGTGTTGGAAAATGTTCCTTCCTTTGCTGTGACATAGATGGGAGGGGGGGGGTGGGTTAGCCAACTGCAGTCTTTTCCACAGAAGTGGGTGGCAAAATACTAGCAACACCATTCTAATTTGTATGCTGATGCCTCACTGATTTCATACACTTAATAAATAGTGGCCCGTTAACCCAGTTTGTAGCTAACTGCCCATTTCTCTTCATCAAAATACAAGCTAGTTGCCACTGGAGCTACATTTTTTTCCAACAACTTCCGAAATTCTGAAAGCGACTTAGCCGCCTCACATTTTAAGGGCTTAGAAATAAAACCATTCTGAGCCAGAGGTTATCCATGACCTTTCCTAGACCTACCAGGAGTGCCTCTTTGCCCAATCCCTGTAACAGCTGTGTCAAGGTCATTACTGCAGCCTTTCTCGGCTCGGGGTCAACATCTGAACTGATCACATCCCTGCAGCAGGTGAAAATCTGAGAATACAGCAAAACACTTTAATTATTGTTTGCAATTTCTGGTGTCATGAAAGTTTAAGAAACGTCTTCATGCAAAAATTAACTATTCACTGTTTACTATGATGAACCTGTCACTGAAACTGGAACTTGTTTCCTATCGGCAACAAGTTATTTTATTAGCCAAACTAATGTGCAGAGACATAATCTCTTTCAATGAAATTGATCAGGATTTTAAAAAATTCTATATTGATTTTAAAAATTCTATATTGATTTTAAAAATTCTATATTGATTTTAAAAATTCTATATTGATTTTAAAAATTCTATATTGATTTTAAAAATTCTATATTGATTTTAAAAATTCTATATTGATTTTAAAAATTCTATATTGATTTTAAAAATTCTATATTGATTTTAAAAATTCTATATTGATTTTAAAAATTCTAGAGGTTAAAACACATTTCAGATGTAAAGGGTTGAACATTAACAAAAAAAAAATTTAAAAAATTAAAAAAATAAATTAAAAAGCATTTCAAAAGACCTCATGATAAGAAACTAAATGCAGTAAAATTTGTCAATTCGATAATATGAAAACTGACTAACTCCCCCAGCCCTGACATTAAATTAAATTTGATCATCTAAAACTGACACACCTCCACCACAAAGTAATTCGTCATTTGATCACATGAAACTGACCAACTGCCCACAAACTATAAATTATAATTTTTGTGATATAGCTATGGTACTTAAAAAAATATTTTGTATTTGTCACAAAAATATGTATAAGCCATTCTTTTAAAAATTGAGTAAATTTCAGTTTCCTGTCCAAATTCTGATACATTAAAGTCAATATTTAATATGAACAATACCTCTTTCAATGCTATATTTATTATGAAAAATTTACTTCCCTCAATATGCTTCCTATGAAGGACGAGTGCCATTCTAAAAGTGGCACCTAAACGCACTTATTTATGGAGCAAGCTTATCTTATAGAAATGCGGCAAACTGTTGTGCGCATACCTCAAACAACACAGGACCAATGGCATATCGCAACAGCTTGCAAACCTCTGCCAGGCCTGACAGACTGCTGGCTCTAACCAAAGAGTCGGAATGGCGGCAACCAATCAGGATTGCAGGAAGAAGCAAGTGACGATAGTGTGGTGTCAGCTCTCCTAATTTTTAAAAAATGGCGAAAAATTAATTTGTGTTAAGCCCTTTTCGAATTAATTAATTATTATTTTCAAAATGAAATTAATTATTTGTAATATGCAAAGGATTAGAATGTTTGATAATGCTTGCTTCACTATTCATAAAAAAAAACACAACTTATCCATAATAAAAAAAAAAAAACAGTCTAAAGCTTCAGATTATAATGCATTTACATTTAGCAATGGAATCATTTACAGATGTATATTTGGTATCCCCCCCATAAGGACAGCATCAATCTATTGAAATCAATTCTTTATTTTAAAAATCTGTCCAAAATGTCCATGCGCTATCTAAATATATAGAAATAATAAAAAAACAAAACAATCAACCCTATGTAGAAACGTGACTGGTCAATGCTTGACATAAGTGTACATTTTGTGACTGATGTATTAAAGGACGTAACAAACTGTTGCTTGTAAGAAAGCAGATCAGTGGAAAACTGACAGATTTTATGAGGAGAAACCAGTCAACTAACCTAAACGCTTGGTGGCTTTAACGAGTGCCTCTCCGACTTTCAAAGTTGTTTCTGGGGACTTTGAGCCGGGATCTTTCAAACATTGCGCTTTAAACTCTGCCGCCAGGCGCGGCACCACAAGGTTGGGGTTGAGATCACTTAATGCAGCCAGCCCGTTGACAGCTGCCAGGTACACGTAGGAATCCGTGTGTGTCATATTTTCTAGGAACACCTGGGGCCAAGATAAAATTAAGGTTTTAAAGTATTTTCAAAAATGTTCATTTTACGTATTAGTACACTCTATTTAATAAAAAGTAATTTTGCCGTATTGTCTTTTGCTATATTGTCTTAACTGGTTAAATACGATAAGCTACTGGTGGCGATAAACTTCCTTTAATCATGGCCATGAGCTGCTATGGGTGTCATGGTTAGTTTCATAGTAAAACTAGTGATATATTTATATTCTTATTTTTGTTTGGGTTTGAGATTTTCAGACCTGTTTACCCTCAAACTCCTAAAATCGTACAATATCGTCTCAAAATCGTACAATACAGTATCTTAATAGTAAATACATAAATATACAGTATATATAATAAAGAATGTATACAGCATCTACTGGTATAGCGTGTTCAGTGGCATCCAGTTCAGCGGTTTGTTAAAAAATGGAACTGTAAGGTAATCAGTATTCGACTGACGTTAACTGCAAACTGCGGTCACTTCATTTTTCTAACGAGTTTATTGGTGAAAATACATCTTGACAACATCACCGCAATAATTCCTACAAAACATCGGGTGGTATTTTACAGCATTCGAGATATAAATAGAATGCTATTTTTGGACTTTCAGAGTTAGGGGATGAATATTGTAGATTTTTTAAATAACGTACGTTCTTTCTGCCGAGGAACAGCCCCCCCCCCCCAACCTGTCATTACGGAAATGTCGCGGTGTTGATTGTATAGATTTAAGTATTTAGACCCACGCCAAACCCAAAATTTCCTAAATCAACACCACTCCTTTTGTCCATGATAGATTGTTGATGAAAAGTCCGACTTGCAGATTGTGTAATTGTGCAGTGTGCGCATGATGGACCATTCGACAAAGAACGCAACCCAGTCAATTTAGTCTGATATTCAAGCAAGAATATCTGCTGATAAACTTTCTTTTTCTGTTGTTGAATCGGATGTTTATCGGTAGAAAGAGAAGTTTCTTCTTCATCGCCCATTCCGCGAGCCTTTCTTTTTGTCGAGGTCATATCGTAAAATACTAAGTGAGGTCAACTACGGAACCGAAAACAAGAATGATTGCCGATTCCATTAATGATAATGGTAACATTAAAATCACGCAATGTGCACATAGGTCAATGCAGCCAAATTCTAGCGCCAGAGCTGTTTGGACAGCCCATATATAACATTTCAAATAAAAATGAAAAAGTTAACAATGATTCCTAGCTCGCCCCCAGCTGCACGCCTTGCCAACTTAAAGGGCCATCCAAATATGACTTACTCGCTGAGGATGCGTATGAGTTTTGATTGGGTTGGAGGGGGGGGGGGCACCAGAATGCACCTACATGTAGGCATAAATTCTACAATAATTATCCTGATTCCTGACAGTCTCTTATAGAGCCAACTGTCACATGAAAATCTGAAATCCACGAATTCTAATTAGGTCTATTATTATTATTATTAAGGCTATACAAATACCACAATGCTTCGCATTTATCGTATACCGTATACTAATGCTTTGTGTTTTCATAAAGAGGTCGCTGTAGTAGTCATATTTAACACGACATAGTGACAACACACTAGTCCACTAACACGTATTTCCGTGCTGGTGACGAACCCACCTTCCCCCACCCTCATTAATAGGAAAAACATAGTGCCCTCGCCTATCCAATATGCCCCTGAGTTGTCAAAAGAGCCCAAATCAGCAGCAGGACCATTAAACAAATTTTGCGAGCCAAATTTATTTTCAAGAACCTGTCAAGGACCATGTTTTTCGGAGTAAAAACCGCTTTGTAGTTGACTGGCCGAGCCGCAGTCTGGCCGAGCCGCGGCTTGCCGACCACTGCTATAGTATCAGAGACTAGTAACCACCACAAGCTGTAAACAAAAATAGGGGGGGTGGGGCACAGTAGTAGCAGTAGTGATACAAAACTGTTTTATTGTATTAAAATCGTTGAGGGGGATAGAGTCAGAGGCGTAGCGAGGGTGTTTGGCGCCCGGGGACAAGATCCATTTTAAAGTGCCCCTTTTTCTTTTTTTCAACTCTCAAGCCCATTATTTTCATCAATAAAATAATATCAAAGCACATTTTGGCGCCCCTAAACAGGGTTTCTTTCAGCTATATCTCTGGGAGGGGGGGCAGTGCCCCTCCCCCGGGGAAAGCAAGTGCCCCCAGGAGCAAAAATATGTCCAACAATAAATCAACTGGAACTGCTGGCACTGCCCCCCACCCCCCGAAAAATCTGAAGTACCCCTTCCCCGAAAATCTGAAGTGCTCCCCCCTGGGGAAAATTTCTGAAAGAAACATGCCCCCTAACTAGCTGGCGCCCGGGGAATCTGTCCCCTCCTGCCCCCGCTCGCTACGCCTCTGGATAGAGCTGCTTTGCGAGATCTAAAATATTTTTTTTAATGCCACTGACTAAATCTCACACCTCTAGTTTTCTCTCTTCACAATCCCCGCGGTTCAGACGAACACACGCTTGCTAGCAGTAGCAGTCCAATGAGGTGGTGAGTGAAGTTGTTGCCAGGCGACTAGCCTAAAGATTGCTGCTGACACAGCTGGCTGGTTCACTGTGACACGCAAAGCAACACTAAGACCATCACCACTATCAATAGGATGCGTGGCGGTGATATTTTTATATCTTTTGAAACTCCCACCTTTCCTACCCCCCCCCCAACCCGTGTTTCTGGTATGCCACCAATCTCTTTAATCAACAACCACCACCTCCCCTTTCAGTGCGTACATAATATAATGAAGGATGGTCCCAACTATAAACAAATATACAAAAACCCATCGTTTTTCTGGGTCCATTCAATGCGGGGCCAAAAGGGCCAAAGCTTCCACAACCGAAAATTTTTAATTTTTTTTTTTAATCGGACAAAATGACATAAACATTTGTTTCACCGGCTCTCTGAAAATCGTAGTTTTGGGGGGTCTCGGTGTACAATCGTAAAAGACATCTAAAAATCGTACATTGTACGCCAAAATCGTAAGAGTAAACAGGTCTGGATTTTAATTTACAGACAGGAAGATAATTAAAAACCACATAGGACAGTCAGAAGGCAAAAATGCAATTTGTCATATTTATTGTATTTTGAAGGAATAGTTAGCAAGTATTTTTTTATGGCAACAAGGGATAAGGTTACCAGAATCAAACAAACAGTAAATAGTTGGAGACATGTTTATTCAACTGCTGATTTCATTACATTTGGAAACTTCTTCTAATTCGGTGTAGATGTGGTTACCATGAAGTTTAAATAATAATTAAAGATTTCGGAAATTCAAAACTTGAAGATAAGTTGGCACATCTTTATAATTTTTGAAAGCTACTCTCTTAAAAATAATAACAAATTAATTTATCTACAAAATGTTATGTTACTTATTAAAACATGGTAATAATTAATAAAACAGAAACTGAATTTGTACATAGACCTGCATGTGGTAAAACTTACATTTAATTCAGCCACACACTATTTTTCAAGCGAGAGCTAATCAGTTACAGAATTTTTTTTTATAACTATGACACAATTTTAATTTATTTTATAGCAGATTTAATCATTACAATAATTTTATATTAACATTTTTTTTTTCTGAAACGAATGAAATTAATGAGCGCTCACCTTTAGCAACATTTCCGACTTGCCCACAATATCTGGCTCCCTGTCGTCCACCAACCTGGCAAGGCTGATGAGACCATGGCTCCTTACAGGCAACAGAGGGTCACAGAGATCCTGCAGCGCCTGCTGAATCTTGCTGCTGTTAGAATCATTTGGAGCAGAGATCTCATCTGTGGAATAGCAAAGTCAACTATGGGAAAAGCCCTCGATATATTACTTTTTTTTTTCAAAGTGCAATAAAATTTTTAAAACAATGTCTGTAATTATAACAGAAACTAATTGAACATTTTTAAATATATTTTAGTATGAATTAAAATTATAAGACATTTTACAATTTTTTAATATTTAAATTTCATTATTGAGTCCTTTTCTTTCTTATTTTAGAATTATTTTTACATACCAGTAGTAAATATGTTTCCAAATCAATTAATTTAATTTAAATTTTAATTAAAAAGTTAGGAATAACTAAAGTCTCACGCAAATGTTTCAACACTATCATTTTGTTCATTCTCCTTTTTATTACAGAAAAATCTGACCCCCCACCCCACCTCCCCAACCTTTTCCGGGTATAGAGGTGCATTAGTCTGAATGTGCAGTGCATTAATTCCTTAAACCCTCTCCTGGGCACCACCCAAAGAAAATTTATATATGTTTATAAAACAGTTAATGTTGGGCTGAATGTATATTGATTGATTAATTGGATATTTATATAGCACAAGTATACATGCTACTTTAGCATGCTCACTGCGCTCTGGTTTTCTTAAATCTAATATGAGTTCAGCAAAAGTTTACTACCACGATTACAAGTAGCACTAACTGATTTGGTGTGGAGATTGTGTGCAGATCACTATATTAAAATAATAAATGTCTGAAGAGGGGCAAATAAGACTTCTCTAAGGCATTGCCAATTGAGACTCAGAATGGTCAAAGTAGTTTGTGGTACCATGAGGCAGACGCCTCTCCCCACTTTCTTCTCCAAGTATTGTGCATTGTTGGCAAGCATTACCAGAATCTACGTTTGAAGTAGATTCATCAAAAGTTGTCTCAGCAAGAACTTGTATCAAACACTTGGACTCCTTTGGTTTCTCCTTTTTTTCTGACTTGGCTGGAGGCTTGAAGTTCTGAGAATTGAATAGAGATGAGAAAGTTTACACTACACTGTGCAATATTCATAGATGAAGGGATTTTACAAAACAACATATAGGGATCTTACAAACAATAATTAAAGGGATTTTAAAGAAAATTCAATACAAAGAAAATTTTATAAATTAAAAAAAAATAGATTTTGATATGATATAATATATGAAGTTTTGTGAAAACATTATTCTCCAAGTTGTCTTAAAAGGACATTTTTAAAAAAAACCAGCTGTTTACACAAATAATGGAATGTTTATTTTTTGTCAATCTCTTAACATTTTCCTGTAACACTGGACAAAACCTGGAATCCATACTAAAACAGTGCTGAATTTAGATTAACTACCTTCTTCTTGTCTGTTGGTTTTAGCTCAGACCAGACAAGACCTCGAGTGGCCACTGCAATCTTCAAATCCTCTGCCATCTCCTTGACCGTGGGATCTGTTGCGTCACTCTCACTAACTGCTGTCAGCAGGGGAAGTAAATCATCCAACAGCTTCTTGTCTTGCTCTGTCAGCTGATGGGTAGAAAAGTTATACTTGATTATTCAAGTTTTTTTTTTTCCTTAAAAAGTTTAAGCCAAACATTGACCTATTAAACATTATAATTTGTTCACTCTCAAACTTCTCCAAAATCTTTCATTAGCTTACTTGAACTGCACCTCCCAGCACAGCTGTCAACAACCCCATCGCCATGGATACAGTTTCCCACTCAAAGAGTTTAGTGGGTTCATCATCAGTTTGCAGACAAATTTTGATGCATCTCTCTAACGTAGCCTGATTTTGAAAATTGCATAAAAATGAATTCCCATTAATAGATATTTAAAAAAAAAACCAGACAATTATTTGAGAGTGTAAACCAATGGAAGAAAAATAGAATTTCATCAGCATATTTATCTTTAATGAGGTATGAATGGAATATTTGTCGAAAGTATTAATCGAAGACAATGGCAATATCTGTATGACAAGTATCAAAACCTTTTACCTTCGTAAAAGCCAAAACATGGTGACCGCTCTGAATGACTTTTTCTCCAAATTTTTCTCCAAGCGATGCCAAGAAACTGACATAAGAAATTTTCTTTCTTAATTCAGAAATATTTTGCATACGCTGCTTGGGAGACAGCAGATATCCTGGCAGCTGGATATCTAGGTGGTCTGTTTCTGTGGTAACCATATTTGTGAGTTTCTAAAAAAATTTTTTGATAAAATTCCAATCCATTATTCTCTACGAATGTAAAATCGGTAAAGTGCAGGGAGCCAGATATGGTTGAAAACTTATTTATGAAAGTATTTACTCCATAAAGTTTTTATAAAATATTTATCGTAAATTAACTATAAATCTACTTTGTTCCATGCCTAATTCAAAGTTATGTCGGTGTAAGCACTGCTACGCTAATTGTTTCATTACCTCCAACAGATTTAGGAAAAGCTGTGACAATAAAACATCGGAATTGACATCGGTCAAAATAGCCATAGCACCATCCACTGGTTTTGTCCATGAATCTGTGTCCAGTCTGATGAATAACAGACTTTTTTTAAATGGTGAAAGAACAGCTAAGTGATAACTAGCCTAATTCTCTTAAATTTTCTTTTTGAACATTAGTTTGATGCACAGTGAGTGAAGTAAAAATATATGGGATAATAAATGAAGGACTCTTTTGTCCTGTCTGTTGAAAGGGCTCTTAACTGAAACGTTCTCCTTGTAATGTCCGTCTTTATATTTCAAGCTTTTACAGACGCTGTTCCACTACTTCTTTAGACTATAAGGACGTAGAAATAATGGCAAGTTATTGCCAACTTACATTGTCTCCGTGTTATCAGCCACAGCCAGAACTCCTCCATTTCCTCCCCACACCAGCTTTGCTCTGCTGTCTAAGGATGGAAAAGGTGAGACCTGTGGGTCACCAGCGTTAGATGTGAGGGTCAACAAGCAGGTCACAGCCTCCTTTACATCACAGTGGCTGAGATACATTTTAATCAGGTCACAGCATAAGGTTCTGAAATAAATATTATGAAAAAATTAGCCAGATGGTTCCATAAATAATTTTCTAAAAGAAAGTGTATCTTGAATGTATCATAAACACATTAAAAATGAAAAGAGATAAGTTTGTGTGTGTAATGAATTCAAGGAGAGCTCTTGTGGAAGCCAAGTGAAATATTGAAACCACAAGTATCACACAAGGCTTAAATTAACAAATAACTTTTAAAAAGACACCAATACATTAGCTAGAGCTTCCCCTTTGAGAAATCAAAACGCTATGCATCTTTCTAACAAAGAATTACAATTTCAATAATGTAAATCTACCGCAAGTCCCCAAAACAAGCCAATCAACCTTACAGTTACAAATTTATAAAATGCATGAGATCAGATCCTACTTGATATTGGAGGCACTGTTCATTGCAAAGATGAAGACTTCAAACAGGACACCAACAATGTGGACAAGTGTGGACAAGATAAGGGACTGTGGCTCCTGACCTAAAACATAAAGCTGGGAGAAAAAACAAATTAATATTAAATGCATTTTTAAGTTAAACAAAGAGGAATTTGATAAAAAAAAACACAATCTAAAATCTAAATTGTCTTTTGTGACCAAATTATTTTCAATATGAATGCATTGCAACAATGACAAAAAGTACTGGTACATCAATAAAAAAAAAATATTAAGAAACCAAACAAAAAATGTACACAAAAGCTAAATTTTTTAATGGTACATGATCCCGATTGCTAAACCACTAGCTGAAATAATGCTTAGTAAGCTAACAACACAAAAACCTACTCTGTGTAAGCATTCTAAACAGGAGGTCATCACATCTTCTGAAACCAGGATATCAGCCTGTAAATACTGGGCTGCAGATGGATAAGAAATGGATTGTCAAGTTTCATTCAATCACAACTGTAATAAGACATGCTGGGTAGCATAAACTAAAAATTTTAAACCATTAGAATGGGTAGATTCATAATTATCTATAGTTCACATTTTTCACCAAAATACTTTTTTATCCCTTGGGTAAAAAAACCCAACACTTTGTGTGAAACGGGAAAAAACATTTGTAAGTGCAAATAGGATCCTTTGACTTTGCACCACCGATTCACCATCAATGTGATAATAATTTTAAGTGCGTAACATCACATTTTGTGAGATAGTTATGAATGGCGTGTATCCATTTAAAAATAACAGAGAACGATATAAGGAGAGGATGGGTCTTTCATTGTATCTTTTAAGAGAAAATAGTAATTTAATTTTTATTAATTTTCATCAAGTTGTTATTTTTACATGTTACAAATATTTGAATCAATATTCACCATTGTGTTGGGTCAGACTGAGGAGAGGTGCGTGTAAATGTGACAGACATAAGGATTGGACCAGATCTGGGTGTTGGGTGTAAAGCTCCAACACAGTGGCACCCACAGCCCTTGTCACCAATGGCTGCTCCTTGACCTGAGATGACTGGAGGAGCTCTGTTAGCTGTGAAAAAAAAAATGAGGAGTGAATCAAATTAATTCTAGGTCATTTCCAAGTTAGGATAATCAACACATACATGCCAACCTGTAGGGTTTACCTGTTTTTCACTGGATTGAGAAATGAAATATTTTTGCGCACAACATGTTCAAAACTGGTGGCGCAATAAATTCAACATCAAGCTACTTGACTTTGTTAATTTAAATAAAGGAATCTGTGTCACTACAAATAGCATTATTCATCAAAGAATTATGTCCAATTGCATCTCAAATTCTATAAATTCATCATTTGTCTATTTTTTTTTATAAAACTCCTATTAATCGGTGTAAAAAAAATCTCAAAATTTAAAAATAAATCAGACACATAACAAGTTATTTCCATTTAAAAGATGGGATATATCAATTTATAAATGATGTAAACATGCTTAAATGTATACACAACAATGGGAAGAGTATTCATTTTTATTCATCCATTCAATGATGCAAGAGTTATTAATTTTACTTTTTTTTTTTACTTTTCTTTTTTTTTGTACAGTTTTTCATGGTGTTGTACATATTTTTTTTTAAAAAAGACTTTTGTACACTTTTTATAACGCACAGGATGGCATGTATGATTTAACATGTGACTAATGCTACAACATGGTCTTCTATTTTAGACTATTTTAAAATACATATCACATGAAATTTTAACCGTATTAAGCCTTACCATATAATGTAGGCATACAAACAAGTAACAGTGGAACAAGTTTGACTTTTGGAAGGAACTCAATATTTCTATGTGAATGTTTTAAACTGTGAATCACCATTTTAGCCAATACACACAACAATTTCATTTCTTTATCTTAACTTTTTTTTTTTAAATTCAATAAGTGTGCCAACCTGCTTTGTAACAGATGTGTAGAACTGCTGTGTGATGTTTGGTGTCAAGGGACTCTTTGAAATGATCTGTGCCACAGCTTGACATCTTTGCCAATCCTGTGAGTTGATAGTTGAAGATGATTGCACTGGATGGTATCAATGAAAACGCAAACCACATTACTGCATGAAAGCTTAATGATCAGGTGATGATTACTTGCAAGATTAATGCTGTTGTTCATAGAAGGGTTATGGCAGTTGATTATCTTCAATTAAATAAAAAGAAAATTTTAATTAAATTTTTCACTCACCTCCAATGAAGGAACAAATAAAATTTTGCACACCAGAAGACAGCATCAGGACATCTCTCAATAAACAAGCAATAGTCCTTCTAAACCACGGAGGGGTTTTGACTGTGCTTCCTGCCTGCATATGAGATTTGAACTAAAGTTAAGCGAAAGAATGCCAGGTATGTGAATTGAGGGCCTTTGAATAACCCTATCAAATTTTCCACAGCGACAATATAAGTTGAGTAATATGATGTATATATCACAAGATAAAGATTTGAGTTAATTTACTAGACAATATATCCCTCTAATTATCCCTAATAACCTAATTCTATTTTAAAAACAATATGAGTTAAAAAGGATACCAGAGAAAGAGAGTATTCATGTACCACTAGCCCATCCATATCGTTTACATGCAAAGTGCATTTATTAAAATCAGACATTATTTATAATAATTTTTATCATGTACAAATTTTCTTTACTATTTTGTCAAAACAAGCTTCTGTAAATTTTTGTGTCAAGTGAAATACGATTTTTTAAAATTTTATTCAGCTCACCTTGCTAATACCAGACAGCATCAGGACAGCTTTTATAACAATAGGTGTACTGGATGATCTGACGGTGGTGTCAATGGCAGCGTTAGCATAGTTAATCACAGATTGAAGAGTCCATAGTCTTTGGTTAGGATCAAGATATTTTTGCCTGTATATTTCTGAATCATAAACATATATTTCTTCAGTTGGATGGGCCTCGAAAGTTTCACAAACCACTGCAGGAGTTTTTCCCGGGGGTCCGGCAGATTCCTTTGGCAAGGTATTATTGTTGGCGACAGAGGAGAGATTCAGAGACTTCTGGGATTCAGTATTCTTCTGTACCATCTTAGCACAGTACCTAATTTGTATAAGAACAGTTATTAGGTCGGAAAGATAACTGTTAACAAGCAAAAGCTGTAAAGAAGATACACCAAATATGTCAGTGAGTAGCTTGGCAACTGGCAAAAGAAACTGAATCTGCTGTAGGTGTCCCAGTTCAGAGGTGTAGTCATGTGATGTGGCTAGTAATATCTGACCAGGCCCGAGGCGGTGCGAGACAGGTATTCCTATGCCGGGAGACAGATAAGGGCTCATTCCCAGAACCAAAACAAACTGGAGAGTTGTAGAAACAAGACTTTCTTGTTGCAAGCTCAGAGCACCAGGTGGCAAATTTGGAATTTCTTTTTCAGCTGGTTGTGAAGTTCCTAAAGTATCATTGTAAACCGATATTTCCTCAGCTAGATTTTTTCGTAAACATTGGAGTAATTCAACACAAACTTGAGTGAACTTCTGTCTTGTGGTCAGTTCTGTATCATTATTTATAAACTTTTCATTCCTATCTAGATTAATTCCCAACATTAACAAAAGTTTTGGTGAATGTGATAAAAACTTTGAAAGTGATACAAGATTTTCCTGCAAAACATTGTCCAAAAGTTCTTCTTTACCATCTGAAAATAAATTTAAAACAAAAAATTTTAATGGAAGTGTAAAATGTTTGTAGATTTTAAATTATTTATTTATTTAGGCATTTTTATATAACGCTTACCTTAAAGCTCTAAGCGCTTTACAATTATTAAAAACATGTAAACTAAGTAAAATAAAAATGAGACACTAGGATTAGTAACTACTATACTATAGAAACAATTAAAATGGCTATAAAACGAGGACACTTTGGAATGACTCATCAAAATGATGGAATAATATTTAATGTAAAAACAATTCATATTTTTTTAAATATTTTTTTTAAACATCTAAATCTAATTTCATATGTAATTTATGTTTATATATAAATGTATGTATATATAAATAATAATAGGGTGTAAAGAAAAACACACCCTAACAGTCGCCTTAAAGCCTAATTGAATTGAGCCTGTGTTATAATTTGCGTTTCTCCAAATCAGATACAGTATGCAACTTTATAGAATACTCAATTTCAATCTTTGAAGTTTGAGTCTATAACTGCAGTGCATCTGGACCCGAGGCTAAGCAAGGAAAGGAGTTGAGTGCAGCTGAGTTTGTATCAAATAGCCGAATCTGAGGTATACAATAAAGGTTTTAAATAATGGGCTGGTCCACTGTTCCAGTATTAAACAGAAACTCGTCCCTCTCCCCCATAGACAGCGACGAGGCCATGACAGGCAATTCAGGCTCATACCAGCAAGAAGCCAGTATAGGAGCTGCTCATTCCTGCCCAAGACAATCAGGGACTGGAACCATCTTTCAAAAGGAACAGTTGAGGCGACAACACTAGACGCATTTGTGTCTATTGCCTCAAGCCTTCAAACCCCTAGTGCATAATTTCCTCATCACCACCAGTAACAGAAACATTGCAAATCCCATCTACATGCATAGGAGCCAAAATGATCAATAAATTGATCGTGGGCCCTTAAGATATAGAAGAAGAAGTCATGGGGTGGGGTGAGTTGAGCGCTTTTAATAACTGCGGTTTCGCAGGGCTCAATTTGTTATTGTGGCAATGCACATGCTCAATACAATCAACAATTCCTGTTTCCACCCTTTGGACAAAAACACTCAGTTGTCACTAGCAATATTTGTAAAATAATGAAAAAATTCTTCAACTTCAATTTCACGCTCTCCAATTGTCACCAGTGTGTAACTAGCCAACAAGCAGAGTGGAGTTTGGGTGAGAGCCGAGGTTCAATGATATTCTAGGAAAGGGAGCAACCACAGGTTATTTTCTTCCTGGCATATCAGTAGCTTGGCAGTATTAGTATTAGTATTGTGCTATGCTATACTATATTTAAGAGCTTCTATACGGAAGCAAAAATATTAATTAACAGGCTCCAATGTAAGAATAGTTGTTTAAATAGCCCTTCCAACCGGAACAACTGGATTTTTTCTTGGCCGACGCTCAAGTGGTAGATTACCCCTTTTTAAATTTAATTTTAAGTTAATACTGTTAATGATAATGACATGATAAGTTAATTTTAAGTTAATGATGCTTTTCGCATGCATTAAGAACTTTCTGAGCAATTAGAGGCAACAAATACTATCTAAAATATACATTTATAAAATCTTCATCACCTGAAAGAGTAGACTTGGATTCTGCTGGAGCTTTCAAAAGAGTTAGAGACTGAAAAATAAGTTGATTGTCGATTCGCTCGGACTTTAATGGATTGATGGAAGCCGCCATGTTTTTAAGGGGAGATCACTATAAAATTATTTACCGCTGCAACTAAAACGTAGATAGTCTTAGATAGCATTCAAATATAGTTATTAAATATATCGGTAGACAATTAGTATGGATGGTGACAGATCGGATAACATGGTTGCAAGAAGTCGGCATAAGAAGAAAGCAGGCCAAAAAGAAAAAATGGAAACAAATAAAAAGGAAATCTTAAACGACAAAGCCAAAGCGGTCACTGGCGATCGGGAACCAGCAGCAAAGCCTGAGAATGAAAATGAAAAGGCATAGAAAAACTTGTTACTTGTTCTTGAGTTCTGAATGTTCTTGATATTTCTCTATTAGATTGTATTTGTATTCTATTTGAAGACTAATTTTAAAGACTAATTAGGCCTAATTGCCTAATTATTAAGTCAGAAACTTCCTCAGTCCTCAGCTAGTGACTGGAAGAGTGAAAGTAGTAAGCTACTAATACTAATACTATTACTATGAATTAGTTTATTAAACAAACAAAATGCAAAATTTCTACACTACAATGATATTAATTGTTGCTTGATCTTACTGACACTGTTAACTGGGGGGTGCTAAGCCAGTGCTTCTCAAAATGGTGGTCCTACGATCAATCTCTGTCATAAAGCCAATCTTTGGCGTGCAGAAGGCAAAAAGGCGGAAAAATATCAGTTAGTAGGTCTGAAGTCTAAATTGGGCTCCGGTTGCTGCTGCAATGTAGATGCATACCTCCAGCCCATTTTTACTGAAATTTTGAGAAGTAATTGTTTAAAATATTAATAAAATTTAGTTACAGTTACAGTTACAGCTACAGGAAAATTGAAACCTGAAAAATAAAAAATTTGATTGACATTGATTTGATTCTTGGATGTTCATCACAATAATCACATTCATAAAAATTGTCCAACTTAATCATGCATCAAAATCTTAGTTAACTGAGGCTGATTTAGCATCTCAAACACTTCAAATAGACAGTGAGGATTATTACTAGAGGAAGGCAGGAAGGGGCTTGAAATATAAATTTAGATTCTGACTCATTTTTGTGTATCATTCATGTCATAGTCATATATCATTTTTTTAAATCTAAATCTGCTTAAAATCATATTATTTTAGTGTGACACCTAGGGTTTGACTCTGAGAATAATTGGCACCTTATATAAAAGTAAAAGCTGATAAAATGCTTCTTAAAATTGCCTTGAAGTTGCATTTCTTAAAAATCAGTTGAAATAAAATATCAGATTTACAAGAGATAATAAAAAGTTGATATGCAACATCTGTTATGTTTTTTTTTTCTTTCCATTTAATAAACTATATACTAACAAATTGGCTATTTAGACCTGGAGACGAATGAGAGGTTGAGTTTATAAAAAAAATAGTGGCAATTCTGACCTGGATCCCTTGAGGCTAAATGCCATTCGAATGTCATTTGTTGTAGATTATTTTAGTTAAACTGAAGAATTAAGTTTACAAACATATAGTCTATTATAGTTCATTCAATTATCTTTAATTTGATACCAAATTTTGTCTTACAAACCCAACAATAATATTTTTTAATAAACCCAACCTCTCACTCATCCCGGGGCCGAATAGCCGCTGCCATATACTAATTCAAACATTATTTATTTTTTAAATTTCAGAGCACATCTTTAACTGATGTAAGTTCTAAACAACTGTTAGAAAATGGGACAAAATTGGATTCCAATGCTCAAGATTTACGTGGCTCATACTGGCTTACCCGGATGGTTATAGTTCGATACATGGGTTTCATCTATTGTAATTTCCATTTCATCTCTAAAATGTTTCAATTTAAAAGTATTTAAAAGTTAAATCAGTTACTCATAAGGTAAATAATAAAAAAAATAAAAAAACTGGTACCTTTAAAGATTTTGTGACTAGAAATATAGTCATTCTTATTTAATATAATTCCTTAGTTTATATATAATTCCTTAGTTTATCTTATCAGTGGAGCAATTGAACAATGTCATCTTTTGTGGTAAAGGGAGAACATAAACGATATCACACAGCTAGAAAATTGGGAGAGGGGTGTTCTAAAATTGTGACAATATGTGATCAGGGTGTCTAAATATTGTAACATATCTGTGGTGATGGAGGGGTGGGGGTAAAACAATGGCCAGACAAGTGTTACATCATTAAAGGATGCCCCATAGCTTGTAATAGGACTAAAGTTCATCTATTAATATTGTTTAACTTGTAATATGGGTAAACTTGATATTGCACTTTTGTTCCATTTGTAATATGGGTAAAGTCCATCTATTAATTAATTTTTTTTTGTTCATAGTTGTGGCATATTCAGTTAGCCTTAACTCTAACAAGCAGCTGCTTGGAAAGGATGGCCTGCTGCCTGCAAATCAGTATCTAAATAATATTCGCAGTCACGTTGGGTCTTCAAGTTGGTGGTCACTCGTCTCAGCTGCACCAACACTTTTGTGGTTTGTAGATTATGAAACTCATATCGACTGGTGGCTTGACACAATTGCATGGGTTAGTACCATATTGACTTGTGACAGAGATCATATTGATAGGCAAAAATTGTTTCATTTACATTGTTTCCTCAAATCCTAGCATAACTAAGAACTATTAAGCTATTTAAATTTTTTTAATATAAATCTTTGTGTGAATAGGCATACTTAGAAGAAAAATTTTGATGAATTTTATAAGTCAAAATTCTCCTATTTTTTCTCTACACCTTGAAAAATGTATTTTCAAACCTACAAAACAATTGAAGACCTTAGTGCTAAAATGATGCAATTCACAAAATACCCATTTTAAGAAAATCCAGTTCAAATATTTTTTTTTCTATAAAGTTTGAACATTCTTATTTTTTGGCTTGTTTAAATAGGGGGCTTATGGTACATTTTAATGTGTTCAAATATATGTAGTACACTTTGCTAAGCCAAATAAGAAAAGTTCACAGTTCAAATTGATTTTAACAAAAATGTGACTTAAGTACTTTTAGCACAAGGATCTTTAACTTTAATTATTCTAAATTATAGCCCAAATGTTTTGGACTATAATATTTAGGACTACTTGCAATAAAAATATAAAATTGTAAGGATAGTTAAGGACAGTTTTTTTTCTTATATTTTCTAAACAAAAATGATTAATTGTTGCAATGTTCTTTAGGTTGGACTTGCCATTGCAGTTTTCATGATGATGACTGGTGCAGGGAACTGGCCACTACTTCTTTTAGAATGGATACTTTATCATTCACTGGTCAGTGTTGGGCAGCAATGGTAAGTCTTAGGGTTGTCTCGTTTTATTTAGCAGCTGATTCAAGATTTTAATTCTTTACTTCACTTAATAAAGGAGTCAGCATCTAAAACTATTCAAACATTATTATACTGGAATGTTGCCATAATTTCTAAAAATCTCTACATACTTTTAAACAATTTTTTTTTAAAAATCCTGTTCTAGATGGATTTTTCTTTCTCCTCAGGTTTTCATTTGGTAAGTGTTTAAACTAAAGTTACTATGGTAGAGTGTCTAAATTACAATCATACGTGTGGCCACTATTAAACTCTGAAAAATTAGGCTCATGAGGAAGTCAAAAGTTTGTATGAAGCCTCTCTAAATTAAGGAAAGGTGACTTTATTTCAAATATCCAAAAGACTTTCATTATTTTACTAAAAATGAATACAAAAGTTCTACATTTTTTAAAGTCAGCCTTCTTATTTATTTTTTCAATCTTTGTACTGGTATGTCACACAGGGTGGGAGAGCCAAGTGTTGGAGACTGGATTCCTCACAACATTTTTATGTCCATTGCTGTCTTTAGCATCTGTCCCTAAATCCACGCCACCTTCAAAGATCATCATTTTTGCATATAGATGGCTCATTTTTAGAATTATGCTGGGAGCGGTAAGTGGTTAACTCTGTCTGCATTGAAACGATACCTTATTTTCTCAACAGGATTAAGTAAGCTTTTTATACAGGGGCAACAAAATTTTCAGAATGAGTTTTTCAATTTTTTCACATGTATTTAATGTGTACACATCCAGATTTCTATACCCTTCTAGTAATTGCAGTACTACTAATCTTAAAAGATATCATCATTATATTTTTAATCATAGAAATAGGCATGAGTAATTTTTTTTATGCCTTCTGTCTGGATGAATGTGGAATTTGACAAATTATCACAAATGTAGAGCACCAAAAATTTAGTTTTAAAAGAATGATATTGCAAGACATTTTTTACAAAAATTACTTTCTCTTCCCTTAGGGACTTATAAAAATAAGAGGTGATAAGTGTTGGCATGATTTGACTTGTATGAATTATCACTATGAGGTTTGTATTTAGCATCACAGGAGTCTTAAATTAATTGAACAAAATAAACTATAAGTACCATTATCGGGGAAATAAAATTATTCATACTTGAATATGACATTTTTTTCTATGATAAAAGACCTTCAGGTCTCTAGTGACTTCTGTAATGTTTATCTAAGATACATGGCACCCTTGCTATTTTAAGATTTAAATTATTCCAAGCTTATGAACGTCTACATTGCTACATATTTTTTGTTTCAATCTTAGACTCAACCTGTGCCAAACCCACTGAGCTACTACTTGCACCAGTCACCAGAACCAATCCACAAGTTTGAGGTTCTATCCAATCACTTCGTTGAACTCGTGGCACCTTTCTTGTTGCTGTTGCCGCTACGTAGACCGTGCATGATAGGGGGAGTGATCCAAATTATTTTTCAGGCAAGGGTTATAACTTAAAACTTTAAGTTCATGTATAGCATTCAAATGGTCTGTTAGGGCACAGTGCTGTTAACAGATGTCTATATTATCTTGGCGTTAAAAAAAAAATTGCAGAAATCTATAACAGTATCAAAATGTTTGTTAAGGTGAACAAGTTTAAAATTATTTTAGAACAAAGGGGCATCCTATAGTTAAGAGGTTTTAAGTGTGGTCAGTGTGATAAATTATAAAGGTAGATCTAAGTGTATTGCTACTTACATTATCACTCCCAGAACATGGCTGGCAAATTTATATTTTTAAAATACTCTTGTTTGCATTGCTGAACTCAAACCCTAAAACAAAATTACAATTAGACAAGAACTTCAACAACCTACTGGTGATTACAAAAAATAATAACAAAGTAATTTTTATCCTTAATTTTTTTTTTTAGGTTGTGCTAATCATCAGTGGCAATTTAAGCTTCTTAAACTGGTTGACAATTCTGCCCAGCCTGGCGTGTTTTGATGATGCAAGCCTCTCTTGGTTGTTTTCAATGCCAGTCAAGTCAGCAGTTGGCCAGGTAAACCTACAGAGGAAGAACCAAAACAAGGGGCCTCTAAGTAAGTGCCAAAGTTGCTGTTATGTATTAAAATGTTTGAAAAGAATTTATAATTTTAAATGGTCTATAAAAAATGGAACTAAAGTAATATTTTGAATGAAATAATGTTTATGAAAAAAAACTACACCTTAAATAAAAGGATAATTAATTCATTGCGTAATTATTTTGATGTCTACACATCAATTTTATTAATAACTTACATAGTGGTTAGACAAGTGGTTAGAATTTTGTACGAAATTATGATGTAAATCAAATAAGCTGGTATTTAGCTAATTGTGAACCTGCTATAATAAGATGTAAATCAAATAAATTGGTATTTAGCTAATTGTGAACTTGCTATAATGATTGAGATCAAAGTTTATGTACTGATGTCAAACTGTAGTGTAACTTTTCAAAGATTTGCAGTTTGCAACTGTCGAGAAATCTTCCGAAAACAACTATCACAAATTAAGTTTATTTTATTAGTTATTAACTTTGTGTAACTTTAGTAGGCCCACTGTATGATATTTTAAATTGTATAAAATCAGTGTTTATTGAATTTTTATGTTTATTGATTCCAAATTAAATAAAGACTATTTTTATGTTTTGTGTTCAAGTTCAAATACAGCTATGTTGTAAACAAAAATCGCTTTACAACAAAATTTTAATTGATCTGTTGTTGTATTATCTTCTATGTCAAAAGCCGGTGTAATAAGAAAAGTGTTCAATATCAGCTTCGGACTACTTATTGCCTACCTGAGCATACCAGTTGTGCAAAACCTTCTCTCAACACGCCAGGCCATGAATACGTCGTTTGATCCACTCCGGCTAGTAAACACCTATGGAGCATTTGGCAGGTTTGTGTGAATTAGGCCAGCCATACAATTTGCACATTAAGTTCCGGTACTAATTTAAGGTACCCCTGTTTGATGGCCTAGGTCGCCAAGAGCCTACTCAAGAATCTTCAGATGAAATCTTGTGATCGATTACTGGTAGTTCTTTGTGAAGTTTAAGTTGATTAACCATATTCCAAAGGTGTTGGTTGGCCCTATTCCGTCGGTTGGCCCTACTCAGGCGGTTAGCCCTACTGAGATTGTTGGTCCTACTCAAACGGTTGGTCCTACGTCAATATGGTTAACTCTGTGTTTTGCTTCTTCAGTTTGATGGGAGACCAGCTATGTTGTTTTCTTTATTACCAAGCTACCACAGCAGCAGTATGTTGTAGATGACTATTTCTTTGAACTTTGGCCTGTTTTTTTTTTTATTTTGGTTACATTTGATGGTTTGGATTTTTCATACCCTTTTCCGAGTTGATGTATTCCAAGAAATTTTCTAGTTTTAAATTCTGATAAATCAAAGTGGACACACAATACCACTTCTCTGATAATACTTCTGAGGACTTAACCTGCAATAGAAATACTTTAATTTATTATATTTTGTCACATATTAAATTATCACTTTTCTCTTCTGGTCCTGTCCAGCATTACCAAGAAAAGGACAGAGGTAATCTTCCAAGGAACTAACAGCTCCAATCCTGATTCGCCTGCTGCTGTCTGGGAGGAGTACCAGTTCAATTGCAAACCAGGGGACGTAAGCCGCACACCTTGTGTCATCTCCCCTTATCACTACAGATTAGATTGGCTTATGTGGTTTGCTGCATTTCAAGTGAGTGAACTCATTTCTTTAAAAATTTTGTTTCTCTTTTACCTGTTTCCTCCTTTTTGCCCTATTTTTTTTTTCTTTCACATTTTAAAAACCAAATTTCTGTTGTTTTCGTTAACTAGAACTATAACCACAATCCGTGGCTGGTGCACCTGGCTGCCAAGTTTCTTGTCAATGATGAAAAGACAGAATCATTAATAGCCTACAATCCCTTTCATGGCCGACCTCCTCCAAAGTAAGTTATTTATTAGTGTTTTTTATCAAGCATTCACGTAGCAGGTTTATTAAGATACAATAAGGTATTTTTATTGATCCAAATAAATGGAAATTTGATTTTTTTTCATTCATCGTACCCAGTACAAATTTTTTTCAGTCTTGCTATTCCTTGTTTGAGTTTTTCGTTATTCCTTAAAATTAGTCTATATCAAGACTTCTGTTGAATATTTGTGCTGTATGAATAACTTTTGAGCACCTGAGTATTAAATATTAATGTTGAATTTCTCAATGTTTAAAGTCTTTGTGCAAATTCTTTTAGCAAAATACGGGACTTCTATTCTTAATCCATTTAATAACCATCTTTACCTACACCAAACAGGGCGAATTTGCAAAATGTTTTGTGGCATTCAAAGGAGTAACACAATGCAAAAAATATTACCCACTGAGCTTCAGCTACAGGAATAATTTTTTTTTTAAATTTAATAAATGAATACGTTGATGGTCCATTTGATTGAGATTCTGGGCCAGATCATGTTTTGTATCAGTCAACATCAGAATCTGATTTGTAAATATGAGGGATTAACAATAGCCACACTAAATTTTAGATGAACCTCTTTGATTATTTTGATAACAAAATATGCCGGAGGGTCTAAATTCATTGCTTGATCTAAGCACTCTTGAAAGTTTACATTGAAAGTGTAAAATTAGATTTTTAATAAGCGGATAGATTTGTGTTTGTGTGTGTGCAAAGCGTCATCACTCAAATTGAATTGCTTCTTTTTGTTAACTTAAAACTTAGTGAGTTAATGTAAAGCATTTAGTCTGTTTCATGTAAAAAAATATATATATCTATAATTTTTTACAATTATTTGATCAGGTTTGTGAGAGCTGAACACTACCGGTACGTTTTCACCAAAATCGGCTCCCCTGAAGCTAAAAGTGGACACTGGTGGAAGAGAAAAAGAATAGGTTCCTACCTGCCACCTGTGTCACTTCATGTGCTGTCCTCAACCTTGGCACAGATGGGATGGGCTGTGCCCAAATTCACCAAAGGATAATTATCCTATCACTTATCAACCATAAACATTTGATATGTTTGACTTTGAAGGGATGAAGTTGTTGGCCATGGTATTGTACAATCATGCAAACTGTCTAAGTACAAGGATCTGAAATGTGTTCAAAGACCTCAACAGATTATTTTCTCTTTGCTGTTTTATTTTATGAGGCATCTGTTTGATTAAGGGAAACTTCAAGTAACATTTCTGATTTTGACATTTAGAGGATCCTTCCAATGAAAGGAAAATTAACAGGTGTGGCTGATGGGGAGTCAAGCTTAAAGGCCAGCATTTGTTGTGTGATGGCCATGCTTGTAATGTCATCTAATTTATCATTTTAACAATCAGGCTTTTAAAGTACAGATAAATTGTACTGTGATCATAGCAGGTGAAAGCGCTATACAATAATTGAAATTATCTTGTATTCTGATTGGCATAGAACAGTGTGTGTACACTTGGCTTCCTAATTTATTTGTTTATTATATTTCTCTCCGAAAATCAGTATTCACCTAAGCAAAATTCTGCTTCATTTTTCTGTAGTTTTATAAAAGTTTTAATTAGTTTTAATAGGTTTTAACTTGTTCATTCCTTTACTACAGAATGTGTTATTTTCAATTTGACAACATGCATACATTTAATTGACCCAGGGATGAAATATACTCTTTTAAATTGGTTAGAGGAAGAAATTGTTCAAATAATAGCTGCAGAACAGTCAACTTGTTTTAAAAGTGTCCTTTAAAGAAATTTTAATACCGGTATTAATATCCATTGAGTCTCAGGTCTTGTAACTTTTCATGCATAATTGATGATTGAAATGATCATATAGAACAGTATAAATGGCAACTAATTGATATTTTACCAAAATTATAAGTAGTGTTACTTTTTTTTTTAAAAAATAAAAAAAAAAAAAAAAAAAAACAAATTTAATATTTATTCCACAAGGCAAATGCATCTCCATTTTCCGGACTCGGTTTGGTAATAAATTACGGTGCTGTAGGTACATTGGAAGTTTCTTGATGTCTTTAATAACATTGTTAATAAATGTTAATTGAATAAAAGAAAATTTCTGAAAACAATACTGTTTTGGTTTATGAAATGCATGAAAGAACAAAACTACAAGAATTGTACTCTTGCAAAATAAATGTATCAAAGATATTAGTTTCAGAATTATATTTGCATGGTCACACCTGGACCAATGTAACTGATTGCTCTAAGAAATTAAGGATTATAATACCCATAATAAAGGGCAATATGATTCTTGATGGATCACTGCTTCCTGTTGATACTGATATCATAAATTTATCTAGATTCTGGCAAATGATGCCTCTGTCATTTTCTTTAGAGCAATAAATTGATCTCTTCTTTTTTAGTGGGAGATATTTCTATTAAAAAATTATGGTGGTTACTTTTCTGAGAACTGAAGATGTTGTGATAGGTTTAGCTTAAAGGTTACTGGCTTGAACCAGCGCAACTTAAAAAATTTGTTTTAGAGATTATTTCTTTTAAAGAAAAGTTGATAAGTAGAATGCATTTAGCACACAATTTAAATGAATTTAGTCAAGAATTTAATTTAAAAAAATGTCTCATGCAAATAATATAAATTAGGCCTACATAAAATGTAGTCAGGGAAAATAATACACCATTTAATTTTTTTTTTACTGCACTTGAAAAGAGCGTTGTCACTGTGCCAGTTTATCTGTTTGATATTTGAAGAATGTGATGGGGAGTTGAAATTAGTTAAAGCTTGAATATCTATCTGGAAATGCTAAACACCAAGCGAACGGGGGTGGGGGGGGGGTGGTTTCTCTAGTTAGAGGTTAACTCCACCCCAGAAAATTTTTGATTAATTCAAAATCAAGGATTTCGATCGAACGAGCGTCGTGTAGGACAAGAGAGTTGTTTGATATTTGAAGAATGTGATGGGGAGTTGAAATTAGTTAAAGCTTGAATATCTATCTGGAAATGCTAAACACCAAGCGAACGGGGGTGGGGGGGGGTGGTTTCTCTAGGTAGAGGTTAACTCCACCCCAGAAAATTTTTGATTAATTCAAAATCAAGGATTTCATTTTGCCATAAATCTTAATTGTGTCTTTCTTTCAGATCAAGCGTGGGAACTTTTCAGGAAGTGCGGGGGGGGAGGGGGGAAAGTTGGTCAGGGAATCTATCAGCACGTAAATTATGTATTATGTCACCCAGTGCCTTATTCCTTTCCAGTTGTGGCACGACAAATGGTATTCTTTTTGTCCCATATTAGTTTTTCTTCCGTAGTGTCACAATGATAGGCAAAGGGGAGGGGGAGCAAAAAGCGCCTAATTCTCCCGAGCGAAATCGTGTGTGGGAATGCTAGGAGAGGGGGATTCAAATGTGGCATTTCATGGGGTCTGAGGAAATGTGCCTTTTTTTTTATATTACAAGTTAATGAGTGACTATACTATATAATATATAAATGTTATAGAATTGTTAAATTTCTTCCTTAATATTTTACGTTACAAAAATAAGCAACACTTTATTATGTTGTTGTACAGTTTTCTTAGTAATTTAGTTTGTTTAAATTATAAGCCCATTTTTTTCTCCAATGGCTACTATCGACAGTATCGTAGTAGGTGCGGGACTTAGTCGAACAATAATAAAGTCGAACAATAATAATTCGTAGGGGTATATATTATAGAATAAAAGAATATGTTGGTTTAAGTTATATCTGAATAGTCTGAACATAATTTACATTCGTCAAAATGTCTTTGAGTAATTAGGATCTTAAAGGCTCATTCTCATATTATTGATAAAAGATAACGGTGTCGTATTTAATTTTGTTTACTGGTTGGTTGTTAGTGGAACCTTCCTAAAGAAGAAGATAAATGTCATGTGACTTCTATTTTTAAAACCTTATGTAACTGTGTAATCAATTTTTGATTTGATAAGATTTAATGATTTATCATTCACAACATTTGGGAAAACACTTGTGTAAGACCAATTGTTATTTTAATTCAACTTTCTATTTTGCTGAACTGTGAACTGTTGTACAATCAGCTGAATTGCACAGTCATGGTGCCTGACTGTTCTCTCACATGACTGTATTTCTTGTATGACAATTGTTGACATACTATTTTTAGTCTTCTCAATTCCCCAGTCCCCAAGTTAGGTAATTTGGATAAATCAGGTTCGAGTCGAATCAGAATCATAAGACCTAAAGGTAGTCTACATCCGGAAACTTTTATCTGTAACCAGAAAGGAGCGGTTACGTAAATCTTTGTTTTCAACTGTGTCAACATATATGATATTATTCGCTGTTTGTTGAACAGACAGTGACATTCGAGTGTACTGTAAAAGACAAAGAATAGAAGTTAAATAATTAAAATGGATCGTTTACCATCAGAGGTAAGTTTTTGTACAGATTTGTCTATATTTGTAGGTCTAAATACTCAAAGTAAAGTAAATTACTTAAACTGAACAACTCAAAGCCAGTTTTATTAAACAGGCTCATGAGAATCAGAAAAAAGTCTAGAGAAATATTTTTTTTTAATATTTATTATTTAGTTAGGTAAAAAAATTAATTAAGTTAAAGAAAGAAATCGAATCCTACTTAAAAAACTTATGACAGCATAGTCACTATGTCACTGTGTGTTTTAACTGCTTGTGGGATTATTTTAATTTAGCGTTTTATTTTTTAATGATGAAAGACTGGTTGAACTTAAATAATAAATAACATAGTTTTTAACTTATGACTTATGGTGGATATAATATTGAGTTAATAAATAATGTTTATAAATATAATAAAGGATCTAATGTTAACCAATACATGCTTTAAGTTTGAGACTAAGAGTACTAAGACTAATTTAATATTTTTTTTAAATTTAATTATTTTTTTAAATAAACTACATCACATGTCTTTGGGGAGGGGGTTGGGGTGAGAGGAGCACACACTTTTGAGTATCTGTGATAAGTGTCTAATTTGTGTTACAAATTTTTGTTGTCGGGGGGGTGGTTTAAAAATAAATAGCATGGACATGGATGGTCCCACAGATCAAAAGCATATCATGCTCTCTATATAACTCTTCAGCCTTCAGGATCAAAGTTAACCCTAACAAATTATATCACTGGTTTTACCATGCTTTTAAAAATTCAGTTTGTACTTTCACTAACAACTGAAAAATATTTATGTTTCAGCTGATCAGCCATATAATGCGTTTCCTCAGCTTTTCGGATAGAAAAGAAGCTTCTTTAGTTTGCACAACTTGGTACCATGCTTCTCTTCATCCATATCTACAAAAGAATGTAATTGTTAAATGCAAACCACAGGAGAAAGGTACTCTGCCCGCTGGCCTACTTAGACGCAGGCTGACACATATTGAGTTTGGAGATGGAGGTACCCAGACACTTTCTGAGGAGAATCTTGTATCTCTGTTGAAGGAGTGCCCAAGTTTAGTGGAATTAGACCTCTCCCGTTGCAACCATCTCTTTCTATCGGGACGCCTCTTGGACAGAGACAGTGACAGAATCATGTTGCGTAAGTCACTGGCCAATCTCCGAGAGCTGAAACTCGACTGTTTGCGCCACATGACAGATATAACTTTCTTGAGACTTGTCTCAGTCACCGAAAATCTGCAGAAAATCTCTCTGGCCTCCACCAACATGATTTTCGGGAACCTTCTCTGCAGTGTCAACCAGAGCAGCCCGGTTATGTTTCAGTTCTCAACATTCTTGAAATTTGTCACAGACAATGTAGCAAAGCTGAAAAGCATTGATCTTAGCTACACCGCTGTGCACAATGATGCCCTGAATGCCTTGGCCAGTATTGAAGGGTTGAGTCTGGAGGAGATAAGTCTCAGAAGCTGCATGGAACTATCTGACAAAGGAATAAAAATGCTGGTTTCCAAACAAAGATCCTTGAAGGTTTTAAACATCAGTGAATGTAAAGAACTTGGAAATAGCAAAGCCTTTTTCAGCACCCTGGCTAACAACCTCCCGTATCTGCAAACCCTCCTCATGAGGAAATGTGTAAAGATGGGTCAGTGTGATATTGAATCCCTGGCTGACTTCAAATCATTAAGCACCATTGATCTTGGTGAGGTTCTCAATCTGTTTGACAAAGACTTAATTAAAGGCATGTGCAGCAAAGGCCCACAACTGTTTGGTCTGTTTCTACCCTATTGCCCGGATATACACGATGAGTTCATTTTCCAGTTGTGCAAGAGCAACTACCTGCTAACACACCTGGATCTAAGCTCATGCCTACAACTAACCGACAGTGCGCTGCATGCCATCACCAGGTCGTTAACCTTGCTTCGTACACTTCGACTTCCATACTGCAGAGAAATATCTGATCTTGGCATCCTGGGATACATGCCAGAGAATGGTGTAGTTCCAAGACATACATTTGACCATGATCATGATGGTTGCCCTTGCACCAGGGAGAGAGAGAGCAAAATTTTCAGAAAACCAAAAGGCCTGATTAAGGAACACATATCTTGTGTATCAAAGGCTCAAGATAGCTTAGCTAAAGGCGGAGAACTGTATATGCTGTCCAATTTAGAATATCTGGAAACCCTTGATCTTTCTTCATGCACAAGAATAACAGATTTGGGCTTATCTGAGGCAGTGAGGTTTAGAGATCTTCGAAGCCTCTCCCTCAATGGGCTTTCAAAGATTGATGACAGAGCCATTGCCATCATAGCTCATCAAAATCCTAACCTTGAAGAGGTGAATTTGCGAGCCACTAAGATTACTGATCTCTCTGTGGGGCAGCTGATACGGCAGTGCCCTTGCCTCCGTGTCATGGATTTGTCCCAGTGTGAGGGTCTGAGTGATGTTTGTCTGGAGACCATCGCATACAAAGGCAAGCGACTCCGCCAGTTGGATGTATCATATACCAACTTGTCTGTGCAGGCAGTGTCCATGTTAGAGTCAAGAGTCCCATACCTTAAAGTTGTGTCTAGACCACACCTCTATTAAATAAGCCATTGTTTGGTTGTAAACAGTTCATTGAGATGCAAGTGTAAATAACTTTGCTTTACTGAATAATGTGGGTAAATTTTTTCTTTGATAAATCAAGTTCATTTCAAAATTTAACCCATCATAAACCTGTAATCCATATATACTGTCCACCACATTTAATACAAGTTTTTATTTTTAGTATCAAAATTCTTTAAGATAATTTTACATTATAAAATTTTAGTTTACTATTACATTTGACATTTATTATCTGATAATTCTCTCATTTAATATGTTTCATTTGTTCTGGGCATAAAAACATTTTTCATATACTATATACTGGTACATATGTGTAAATTATTTTTTTATTCTTTATAATTTAAGCAATAGTAATTTTAGCCATTTTAGAAAGATGGCTCAATACTTTATCCAGATAACATATTTGTCTGGTACAACACTGGTATCACTGTTTATATTTTATGCACTATTATTTAATTTGTTTTATATTTTAGACATCAACTTTGATTAATTCTTATTCATGGTCTTAATGTTATATATTTTTTTCATTATAAAAATGGGAATTGTGAATTGTTAGGATTTTTTTTTTTTTTTTTTTTTTTTTTTTGGGGGGGGGGGGGGGTGTTCATAGCAACCATATTTAGGTCTTGACCCCATAAAATATTTATGCCATTCTGTCCCCATTTTGTACCAAAAATTGGGATAGTAACAGTTTTTAGTGATGCAAAGCATATGAGTCTTATTTTATGTTGGCTTTCTTATGCACTTACACTTAATCTTTTTCCTTATGTTGGTTGATTTTCTTTTTATACTTTAATTTTAAGAACACTTTTTTTTATTTCTCAATTCAAGAGAAAAATTTGAGTTATTTATGTATTAATTTGATTTATATGTTAAATAGTTTTTTTTTAAATTACCTTTTAAAAAAATTCATTAAAATGTATCAACAATTCTTGTTGAGAACTATTGGGTTGAAAAAATATTTTTTAAAAATCTTAAATCCATGTAATAGTTGATACCAATCAATCAAACATGTATCTAAAGGATTATGTATGATCGAACTTAGAGGCCATAAATATTTTTTTGTAATTACCCTTGCTTTTACTTTTGTTATTTGCTTTTAAAATGGGTTTTTTGACATCTGGAAATCTTTGACATGCTTGTGGCATTATTTTAAAAAAAATAAAGACATCTGTTCATTCTTGTAAATTTATATATATTGTAAATGTGTATTTATGGGCAGAATAGGAAATCAAGCTCACTCAAGTTATTGGGACAGAGTTAAGCAATGTGGGGTTATTATGACTAATATGACTGACTTATCTTTCCTATGCCATAGGAAGATGTAACATAACATCAAATAGTTTGAGGTAGCTTTGACTTTTGCTAGCCTGCTACATTTATGAATTTATAAATGACGTTTTAATCATCTCACTGTTCTCACAGTTTATTAAAATATAATTCCTTTCTTTCATCTGGGGACACAATATTGCACAAAGCGTGCATTTTCTTTAAAAATGTTTGTGTATTGGATCTATTTATGTTAATTATAAAGTTATTTGACATTTATTGTATACATTTAATAATCTATTAATCAAGATTGTTTTAATTTTCTCATTATTTTCAATTTTTTAAAATATATCTTATTTATATAAATATGTATCAAATGTATTTGACAAAATTTGTATTTCTTAGCATACTTTTTTAATAACATGTCTTTAAGTAAAGTGGCATCGACCAGCTAAATTTCTCTAATTAGGTTTCATTCAAACTTAATAAATAGAAGAAAAAAACAAAGAACAAATATTTACTTTTTTTTTTAAAGACAACTTGTTTTGGACAGTTGTTTAAAAAAAAAAAATGTAGTGGACTGTGGTAATTATGTTTTGAAAAACAGTTGTATTTTTAAAACCAAAGTTAACTTGGCTATAATTGTATTTTTTTAATTTATTGAAAATTAGACTGTGTGCATATTAGTAGGCATTTTTAAATTGGGAAACAATTAAAATTAATAATTTTACAGTTATATTCAAAACTGGTTCAATGTACCTTATGATACTAGTAATAAAGATAATTTTCAAAAGTTTACCATCTAATGGTTCTGGTAAAAGTAATGAAGATCACATTTTAACCAGGTCTGTTTATTCCTTTTATTCCTTTAATGATGTCTTTTGAAGCACACCCATGTTAGTTTTTATATAGTCTGGAATATTTAAATATAGTTACACATAATCGGGATATTTGTATTCACAGTCTTGCTTGTCCTGTATACAAGTTCATGCTGGCATTCAGTCTGACTATACACTGGGCTTCACTTAACACTTCATTTTGTGTTTTACAAGTTTTTTTTCACTGATGTCATTCCAATTGTGTTGACCAGAGGTCTTCATATTAAAAAATAGAAAGACACAGCAAAATGAATCATCTTAATGACCAGGGCTTAACAGTAAAAAAAAAAAAAGTAAGATGTCAATTTTAGTGTCCCAATTTTATTGTGACTGGTAGACAGCTATACTTAGCCATCTTGGCAGTGGCTTGATGTAATCTCTTCATTAAAGCCATAAGTTGTATTGGAGCTATAGAAACTGTGCCATTTAAGGAAGCACTTGTAGTTGAGCATTGTAAAAGTAAAAGATGTCTTTTTAAAATGTAGTATTTTATATAGTGCTCAAAAAGTTTTCAAATATTTGTAAAAAAAAAGGGTACAAATATAAATATTTTGTTGAACCCCACTCTTTAAATCTAATGCATGTTTAATTGTGTACATTTTTATAAATCTCGAAACCCTTCAAGTTCTTGGTTCGAGACTTTGACAACAAGCAGACTTTTTCCAGTCCCTCTATTTGTAAAAGTTTGTATTTTCCTCTGAGAGATATCAAAATGATGCAAAGATTCTCTTAGTAAATCGAGTCGTTTAAAGCTTCTGGGGATTTTTCTTATTCTGCATCTTGTAGCCAATTACTCAAGGACAGCAATCCAACCTTTCCACCAATGTGTTCCTGTTATGTTAATGCTATTTGTACATTCCCAAGGCTCAGTTATCTCTTTCACTTGTAATGTCAGGAAAACCACACATTAAAAGTGACCTGATGTTTATTCTTTTTTATATTTTGCAGTTGTCAACAGAGGACTCTGAATTTTATTCTCTTTGGGGAATAGTTAATTTAAAGTTGTCCAGTGGCTTTACATGGCTGATTGATGTAGAAAATTAAGGACAAAATTTAACAGTACATTGTAATTCATTCAACTAGCTACCAAACAGCTTGTGAGAGTATCAGCTCATTGTCTACAAAATCTGTGATGTTTTATTTCGTTTTTTTTATAAGTGCAATGTTTTCTTACTGTGAACTGTGATCATTCATTCAAATTTATGTGATTGTAATCAACTATACAATAATACAGTTATTAGTTTTTATTTTAAAAGTGGTGTTTTTAGCTTGTTTATGGTGTGTGTGGTGTTAGGAATGCCATTTACTAAAATTCACCTTCTTCTTCTTCTATATCTTAAGGGCCCACGATCAATTTATTGATCATTTTGGCTCCTCACGTTGTGGACCAGATGATTTTAAATTTTATTATATTTTATTAAAATATAAGTCTTCAGATGTCAAACAGATTGAACTTAACTATTTCAATTTTGGTTTGTCAACAAAATATGATTTATTGACCATTTAAACAAAAATCCATGAAAACTATACATCAAATATACAAATATTAATACTGTAAATCACACAACATCAACAAAAAAAAATAACTGTTACATATTTACACCTATTTCATATTGTCAAAACAAGAAAAAACATTGTCCCTTAAATGGATTGAATAATTTAACTTAAATTTATTCAGTTCACGTTCCTGTATGGGTATGTTAAAGAAATTCAAGCACTACATCAGCCCTTACATTACATCCCCCTCCCCCCCCCCCCAACCTTGACCCCACCTATCATCATGTGCTTGTCATTTTGAGTTGTGACCAGATGCCTGGTCAGGCCAATGCAAGTTTTCGAATACCCGATACTCCCTTAAATTAAATATATGGAGACCATACTGCCTTGGTGGAGTGATGAAGAATAGAATAGGACAGAAATCTGCCCACTGCTGCAATTCAATAAAACAAATTAAAGTGACTGCCGAATTTGTAGGACATCACATTATCATTTCTGTTCCTTCCCTTGACACAGTTTAAATATTTACCAATGGAAGTACTGTATATTTTGATGAGTTAAGAAGGCATGAGCTTCAGTTTTATGAATGTGCGCCGGAGGTAACCTTCTGGTTGTTGTCCTCGTAGAGATTAATGCTGGATACTTGGAAATTTGACCCACTGTCATCTATGCTGATGATTGTTAATGGTCGAAAATCTTCTGCTTTAGATGCCCTCACCAAGCTTAACCTGCCGTTTCTGTTAAAGTACAAAAATTTATTTTTTACATTCCTACGCTTGGAACATTATCAAAAAAATTGTTTTAGCTATAAGAGTTCCGAGTTCAGTCACGTGTCATATGGCGCTGTAACACCATAGTGACCATTGACCTACTTTGACAATTTTGTAACACAGCATATGAGCAGTTTTAATAAATAGATGTGGGTGTCCGTATTAAGTGTTAAGGTTAACGCAGGGTTTTTCAACCTTTTCTTTATTCTGCTACTCTACGAACTGTTTTGACTAAGTCTTGCACCCCTTCAAAAGTAAGGATGCATTTTAAAATTGAATTCATGTATATATATATATATATATATATATATATATATATATATATATATATAGTAATCTATTTTCCTTACACCACATATTGAGTAACTCTGTAATGCACCATATAAAGCTCCACGTGTGAAAGAAAAAAGAAAAAATCAAACATAATTTTTTCTACCTTTTCTTTATTCTGCTACTCTACGAACTGTTTTGTCTAAGTCTTGCACCCCTTCAAAAGTAAGGATGCATTTTAAAATTGAATTCATGTATATATATATATATATATATATATATATATATATATATATATATAGTAATCAATTTTCCTTACACCCCATATTGAGTAACCCTGTAATGCACCATATAAAGGTCCACTTGTGAAAGCAAAAAGAAAAAATCAAACATAATCTGAGAAATTCACTTTGAAGTTTCAGTAACTGTTCTAACATAAACAATTTAAGCAGCTTAAAATTGCAAAGCATTTCTTAAAAATTGTCCAAATTAGACTTACTGATCTACTTCAAAATACTTGATATTTGATACATACTGAATAGATGGCAGACCGACTGATCTATAATGTTGCCAGCCTTCGAGGAATGTGGCCGACAGCATGAACTCCTTGTTGTAGTTTTTTATCACCCTCATCATGTAAGGATCGAGGCGACACCTTTCGTGACACAATGAGACACAAATACAAATAACGCATTATATAGTGACATACAATGAGACTCCATTACAACCATGCAGCGCACATGGTGTGAGACAAAGAGACCCACTTACAACAAAACATATGAGACATAATGACAGCAATGTCAGATAAGATGAGACACAAGTACAACACTACCTGTGGTGTGACACAAAGAGACACACAACAAACATATGAGACAT